GTTTTGGGTCACATATTTCAACTTTAAACTTTTGTAAGGTATTGCTAATTATTGACGCCGCCATATTGTTATATGTACTTTGTTTAGTAGAATAATATATATCATCATCATTGTCAAGCATTTGATCATTATTTGCCCCTTGATTAACAGTAAAGCTAGCTAGCTAATACTGACTTGTTTATAATTACAAAAATTGTTGATAGTAAAATTATTCGGCCTGATTATTATAAACTTTTTTTTATTTTTATTTTTTTTTTCTCTCTCGTTTTATATAAACTTTTCAAAGCATTTTTCTATTATAAATAAAAAATCGTATAGGCGATTGCTAGTTTCCGAAAAATTTTTAGCAAAATTGAGATTTTATTGCATTTTAGTTTTTTGATGTTAGTCAAAAATTTCAAAATTGGTGTTATGAAATAAATATATTATGGGATTAGCATCATATGAACGACTTCAAGAAGTTTTACTAGAAGTTAATTAAAAAATTTAATTCAAACTAGCTATAATGCATCACAATCTTCAGAATGCCAGGTATTTCCAACAATATGAATTTTGTGAATTACATGCGTATAACAATTAATTTTTATTTGATTTTTGATCGATCTGCAAGATGATTGGTTTTCCCGTGACTTGAAACTGAACTTAAATAGGTAAATAAATTACAAACTAGAATATATTTCTTTAAAACTATGGATCCAACGACAAAATCACAAATGCATGATTCAGAAACCACTTCTGACGTTTTCTCCGATGTAAATACTTTAACTTTGCAAGACGTTACAATTAACTTCAGCGATATTTTGGATGCAACAACTTCAGATTCATTTACCATGCAATTCGATAATAACGAATGTCTACAATCGCAACAACTTGGTAGACCTGATCTTAACGTAAATGCCAATGAATTCTAATTACCCTTTGCAACCGATTCAAGATGATCAAGCGGATGCTATGAATGTATATTCGTTCTTTTATAGACCATGTAACGATTTTTCAAATATACCATATCATTTGTAAAGAAATGCCGTTATCATTTGAACTTGTATCTCAATTAGTGGATTATAATGATCTTTATGTCCAACTTAATAAATGCTTATGCATTTTATCATAAGCAAGTTGATGACAAGAAAATCTATCAAATAAATTGCGAAATGATTTCGCACACATTTATGTTTCAAGATGATTTATGGTAGAGAATTCAATCAATATGAACAGCAACCGCAGGAATTCAGAAGAAAAATCTTAAATTTCACCTAAAAAATCGCGATCAGAATGATAATTTTATTCAAGAATATTGTACATACCATATGATAAACCCTAAATGTAGGAATTTTTGATGGTTCCAGGTTAACAATAACCCTAATGTTTATCAGCTTTAGTATTATCTTACGATTATGCAACGCATATACAATAAATATATATCAATGACATTATTCTTAAATCATCATATATTTATAATGGAAAATATTATTTATATTCTGATATTCATCGTCTATTTTAGTTAAAACATTAACAATATACAAAATCATTTAAAACTATATTTAGAAAATAAATACCTAAAAGAATAGTGCAGTCATATTATATAAATATTTATTATTTATTATAATGCTTTTCTAAAGAAGAAATTACTATTATTTATACTATAAAAGATTTATCTAAAAAATAATCTAAATATTAAGCTTATTTTTTTTTAAAGTTTAAACTTGACCAAGTTTATACTAATTAAGCCACATTACGTTTTTTTATTCGGTTTTTTTTTGTTGTTGTTTTTTGGATGATGTAGCACATGATGCATGGCGTGTCACGTTGGGTTGGCAGATACTAATTTTCATATAGCTTATGATAAAATACGACTTTCATAAGAAGTTTCTTACTAAAATTGACCATTTTCACACTGAATTCTTATTAAATTCTGTCAAATAATTGTCTTTTTTATGTAACAGCTCGCTTTTTTTCTAAATAAAAAAAAAAAAATCCCCTTTACAAAATAATAAATCGGGAACAGCTCACTTGTCATTATTTTTTTAATTTGTTTGAATTGCTAAATTAGAACAAAAGTTAACGAATTTTAAGAATTTTGTCGAAAAATTTATGGTGATTAAAAAATCTGGACAACGAGACTACATATAGGCTAGGTTTGATTTAATTAGTCCATCTGCACACCCAGTGTCACGTGAGACTGCGAGACTGTCATTCTGACTAACAACCAGTCTCTATTAAGCAATTGTGCGGCCATGTGAATGGATTAACGAATAAAGTTCATTACTTCAATGACGACGTTTTTTGACTAGTTTGACATTATTTTTGGGGGGCAAAATTTTTATAGAACTTTCTAAAAACAAATCTGCAACTTTCAAGTATTGTGTGTTTATTTATCTAATCTAATTTAAATTAAAATGATTATCCGAGGTTATCCGACCACTATTGGCCATGGGTTGGGTAAATAATTTGATTTTGCACGAACCACCTCCCTTTTCGCCCATATTTTGTAATCCCTATATTTACCCGCGGAAGAATTTCGGAATTTCATTGTTCCTAAAAAATCTTGTGTATGAAAACAAAGCAATCTGGTAATAAATACAAATAGGAACATTTCCGCATGTTATTGGACATAAGATTTAAGAGATTGAATCAATGTTGATTTTTAACTTGGTATGAAATATTAGGGTTTTATCAAGATTTAACAATAAAACGAACAATAGCAAAAAAAAAATAAAAAAAAATTTTTTTTTTTTTTTTGAATTTTTAGAGTTCGTGTCACCGTTAAAGTTGCGTCGAATTGAAAATTTTAAACAATACATATAAAAATGTGAGGATATTCCCTTGTAAATGAAATGACCTATCTATAAAAGAGAGTGTGCGAGAGAAAAAAAAAAAAAAAAATTAAATAATTTTTTTTTTTTTTTTTTTTTTTTTCCCCCTTCCCCAAAAAATAATATATATATTATAACCATACATAATTATTTATATGTGTGATGCATCATGGCGTTCCTAACGTATATCGGAATTAGCGAGGTGGTATCAATTACGACATTATTCATTTCGGCGTATGTGGCGCGATATTACTATCGATACCTTACGAGGCCGAATCCGTTGCCGGGACCTTTCCCGTTACCGATTCTTGGGAATTTGTATTTGTTCAGCATAAATGGTTACGTCAAATTCTTGAACGATTGTTACAAAAAGTATGGTGAAATATTTGAGATTTACCTCGGGAGCGAAAGGATCATTAGCGTGGCGAATTTCAAGTTGATGGATACTTTACTATCACCATCAACGAAATCGAATTTCAAGTTGAGGGGTAAATATAATCCAGGATTAGAGGAGTATGGTATAGCGGGATACGGTATCATGATTTCGAAGCGTGGCATTTCAATCGACATTTTTTCTCTCGGGCCCTTTTGACCCCGAGTTTCTCACAGTTGGCCGTTAGCACGACGCAAAAATTTTATCACGAGTTGACTTCCTATTGGAATCAACTTGATGAAAATCGGGTAACCGATCTGAGGGAATGGATGACTTGCTTTACGACCGATAATATTTATGAATTGATGATGAACAAGAGGGGTTATAGTATGGTCAGTTATTTGACCGAATCCACCGGAATTGAGACCGACGTTTCGAAGGATCACATCAAGGAATCTTTGGATTTCCTTGAAGGTTTTAAATCATTTAAAGATGGTTACTTATTTTATGCATTCACCAATTCTTTCATAAGAAATTTACCCTTTTTAAAGGGTGTCTCTTCGAGATTTAAGAACAAGTTGGGTGATTTTTTTCGACTGTTTTCCGATATTATCGTGGGACACAGGGAAAGGATTCATTCGATCGACGAAAGCGATGACAAGTTAACAAATGATATCATGACTTTAATGTTAAAGTACGATCCGGGACAAGATTCCTCAAAGACCTTCAACAAAAAGTATAACCGTCCCATGAATGACAAGGAATTGATCATCAACATGGTTGAGGCTGCCGGAGGGGGCATCGATTCGACCGCATTTTACTTCACTTTTATCGTGTATTATCTTTGTCGTCACCCGGAGGTGTTGGATAAGGTGCGCGGTGAAGCTCAAAGGGTTCTCGGAAAAAATCCCCGTCCAATTACAATTGAAGATTGTGAGAAATTTTCCGAAAGGTTTCCGTACATCGATGCGGTGCTCAAGGAAGTGGCACGCATGAGTTCATTGGCTCCCCTGGTCGATCGCATTAATGTGAAACCGGAAGAGTTCGGTGGTCTCAAGTGGCCAGCTTACTCGCATTTCATCGTGAACGTTGTTGGTATTCATAATGACCAAAGGTATTGGAAGGATCCCGAAAGTTTCATTCCCGAACGTCACTTGAATCCCGATGAGGATTACAATTCTAAAGCCTTGATCATCTTTGGTGGTGGGACGAGGTACTGTCCGGGAAGGAAGTTGGCCATGATCGAGATAAGGATCTTGACGGTTTTAACCTTTCTTCAATTTGATATCGAATTGGTGGATAAGGTTACCCCTTTAGGTGTCAAATATGCCTTCTTCACTCAACCTGATCCACTTTTGGTAAAGATTAGAAGGTATCATCAAGATTAGTTAAAGAAAAAATTTTCTCACCTGAATTTTTTTTTGATTGCCGTACGAGTTAAATTCCGTTTCAAGAATTTTCAATTTGTGCGTCCGGAAGTAAAAAAAGAATTTGTGACACGTGATGGCATGATTTTGTGGCGGTTAAATAACGACGTTTCACAGCGTAAATACAATCAATGTTGTGAATCGGTAAATCTAAACGACTTTTTCATTGTAAGACTTTGCATTTAGAATAGTCATTTTAGTTCGGAAGGTATACATCCGAGAAAAAAAAAAAGTCATCTGATGAAACATTATAAATAAAATGGTCTAAATAAAAAAATGATCTTCCTATTATCCTATCCCTTGTGTGAAGTGAAAAAAAAAAAAAAAAAAAAATGTGTGAAAAAAATTCACAACATTCCGTTATATTAAATGTTGACATCCTTCCCTTAATCTTAAAATTTTCTGCCGATGATAGAGACCAATATGACTTGTACAATTGTTTATTTATCCATTCGACGTGGACGAAAGTAAGTTCAAAAAAGACCGGCTTTTTTTTTATTTTTAAAAAAGGGAAAAAAAAAACTGTGAAAAACTAAAACAAAAACAAAAAAAAAAGCAAATTCTTCTCTTCTAACAATTAAAAATAAAAAGAAGGAAAAAAAAAAAAAAAAAACTCCTTTTCATTCTTATTTTTTTTTTTTAGATATTCATAAGACTCTTGTGGAAGTCACCGATATGGAAGACACCACAGTCATATAAATTATTCTTAAACACATTGAAGAAAGAAAAGACATTATATAATTATAGTCAAATGATAAGGCACCTCTCGTTTGCACCGTATCGAAATCGACCTCAACCCTTATTCTCATTCTCGGACATGCATTTACTTTCACAAAAATGTTTCAATATAACGCACCTCACATTTGGACATGGCGAAGGGACCATAATTGCGCCCGAATCGGTTTTATTGTTAATAAAAAAGAATCCAAATTTAACATCGATAAAATTCTTAACCTTACATTTTGATGACAAATGGATGAGTACGGCCTTAATGCCAATAATTAATGGAAATTGTTCAAAGTTACGAGAACTTTTATTTTGTGAACCATCATCAACATCACAACAAGTCAACCGACATCAGACAGTGATAACGACGACGAAGGAATTAAGTTTTAATTTTTTGTATTCCATTGGAAGGAAATGTAAAACTGTAGACTCCTTAGAGATTAGAACAAAAATATCAAATACCAATGCATTAATGATAATAAAATTTTTTTCACATTTAACTTCGTTAAGTATAAAAACCATAGAACCCGAAGCTCTTAAAACTCTTTTGCATGGATTTCCAAATTTAAAGTCCTTTTCATTTACCTTTCCACAATCGATCTCAAAGGAGATGACAACGGAAATTGCAAAAGAATTTCCTCCTTTAGAACATCTTTCCGCCATTTTAGACTTGGACACAAGTTCGACATTTATTAATACCTTTGCTACCACTCAAACAAAACTTAAAAAGTTGGAATTGTTCAAATGTTCCAATTTGACCGATTCTGATTTGATATTATTGTCAGAATTTTGCAATCAATTAGAATCCATCAATTTAAGTTTTTGTCAAAATTTGACGGATGAAACGATCTCCTCCCTTACCCAAAAGAATCGTCAACTTAAAAAGATTCAACTTACAAATATGCCAAACTTAACGAACAATGGTATCTTATTCATAGTTAAGAATTGTCCAAATTTAACGTCCTTTATATTTAATGTCGTAAATTATCCGGGAGGGTACGATGGTGGTGATAATGTTGGTGATGGTCAAGAACAAAATGATAATCAAAGCCGAATAACTTCCATGGCATTTATTCACCTTTTACAAAATTGTAAAAGATTAATCGAGTTCTCTGGTCATTTCCCCAAGAGTACCGCTACAAAACTCTTGTTTGAATTATCCAGGAAAAGATATTTTAGGGGGAAAGGGGGTTGTTATAAAAATCTTGAGATTTTAAAAATCTTTCCAACAGGAAATGCTTGCGTGTTCAAACATTCATGCGTACTTAAATCAAAGTTGGAATTAAAATCAAATCAAAATTCGGAAATTGATTTGTTGGAAAATTTGGCCGAGAATTGTCAAAAGTTAAGAATTTTGGTGTTGAAATGCAGTTTTTCCAAATTAAATAGAAACGTAAGTACCGAGATGATTTTTTTTTTTCATTTGAAATTTTTTTTCTTTTTTTAAATTTAAGCAATAATTTTATTTTATTTTATTTTTTTTTTTCTGCCTAGTCATTTATTAAGGCTGTCTTGAAGTTCAAAAATCTCGAGGAATTATCAATTAGACTAAAACAGAATCAATCTCTATCAGCAAATCATCTAAAGAGGTTATCATCACATCCTAAATTAAGAGAATTTGAGTTGGGTGATGCCGTTACCGTAGACGCAAAAGTATTTATTAAAAAACATAATATCAACCGTCATGGTCCTTACTTTTGTTAATAATTATATATTTAGTTGAGTATCGTTTATATCCTTATTTTTATTTTATTTAATACTTAATAATAAACAATCAAAAAAGAAAAAAAGAAAGAGAAAGATTAAAGAAAGAAAAGAAAGAAAAAAAAAGAAATAGAGAGAAAAAATAAAAAATTTACCTAATATATATTTGTTGTAATTTTGAATATGCCCCTTTTTGGAGGGCTTTTGTGGCGCGCGCGTTGACCTTTTGGTTAGATCGACGAAATCTGGTGGGAAGAACTATTACTTGTATTTTATAGAATATATATATTATTATTTTTTCCACGACAAGATGTCGTCATAATAAAATTTATAAAAAAATTCATAGAGCACTTTATTTTTTAAAAAAAAAAAAAAATACATATTTGAATGTGTGTCACGTGATAAAAGTAAAGAATTCGAATTGTATGTCAATACATCAATTACATCAATACGACACAATCACAAAGAGGAGACATGTATTATCATTCAAAATAATACATACTTTACTATATAATCAAGGTTTGTTTTGAACCGTCAAAAAAAAAAAAAAAACTTTTTACGCGTTAAAATTGATTTCAATATTGCGAAATGTACAAGTTTTTCGAAGTACTTAGGGTAATAATAATCTACATGTTTTGAAAAAAATCATTTCTTATTTATATTTCAAATTTAAGAAAATTTTCTTTTATTTAGAACTTTTATGAAGCGATGTTAGATTCGCAGCAAGTAACGGAGAAAGATGTCGACGAAAATACTAACGCTCAGAGAAATGTAAAAACGTTTCACGATTATTATGGCATACAATTCACGTGAGTAATTTATTTAATTTAATTGTATTTGATATTCTTTCTTTTAACATGCAAGAATTATGGCCGTAAACATGATTTTGGTTCTTAGTTATAATCCGAAAGCGAGTACTTCAGAAGTTATAAATAAATTAAATGAGGCTCAAACACTTCATGAATCATTAAAATTTAATCAAGCTAAAGACATTTATCAAGAATTGGCGGATGATTATAATAATCCTCATGCCCAATATCAATTGGGAATGTATTTTTACTGCAGCGACTATGGCGTACACGCACTTGAACACGATAATCGTCTGATTCACAAACCCATGAATGATATTGATTTGTCAAAATATACTGATTTCACAAATGATAACGGCTCAATAATAGAAAGTCCTACAACAGAATCTGATACCATGGATGAGAATGATTTTCTGGATGAAAACGAGGCCAAGCAAATCGCAATCGATTATTTTCTTAAATCAGCAGAACAAGGATATCATAATGCGTTTAATATACTTGCGATTATATCTGAGGATAGTATAAGGCGACATTATTCAACAGGAGAAAATGTTTCACATTCGTTACATTTACAAAATAATGATGATATTATGAGATATATGAAAGCAGCGGCTGAGTGGAAATTTACTATTGAAAATTGCGTCGTATATGTTAACATGTACGCAAAAATAAATTATGGCTCATTATTAATTAAAGATTCAAAAAATGAAACAGATCCATATAAAAGACGGGAACTTCAATCTCAAGGGCTAAGATATTTATTTGAAGCTAGTAGTGTAAGGTTTAGGGATGCAAATTACAACGTAATTAAAGAAATCATGACCGGTTATCATAATCCACAAACTCCTGACGAAGATCAAGAATCAAATACATATTTGGGAATCAAAAATGATGAGTATGCATTGAAATATTATTCTGATGAAAGTGAAATTGAATCTCATGAAGATTTTGATAATCCTTCAGAGGATCCATCGGAACTTGAGCATGATTCACGTGATCAAGAAAATATCAGCTATTCTTTTGGCAATTCTGATTGTGAATCTATTGGAAGTGACAACACTGATAAAATATAAAGGCTGCCAACTTGAGTATTTAAATTAGTTTTTCACCTGTAGACGAAAAAAAACTAACCATATGAATAGTGAAATATAATCTTTATTAAAAATATATGAAATACATTTTTTAATTAAATATTTTATCAATAGACTTATTAAAAAAATAAAAAAAAAAAAAATATGTTCAAGATAAAGTAATCTACGTAAATTTCTTGATTCGATAACCGAAAATTTACAAAAGCCAACGCGCCCCGTAATAATATGTTTTTTTTATTAATTATTAGTAAGTAGTAAATTATTAAAAGTCCTTATATAATCTAATAAATAATTATCTTGTTTAATAAAATAGAACCAATGAAAGTTTTGTAATTTTGTGCAACCGTATGTTACTGGTAAGAAAAACGTTTAAAATGCAAAATTCCTTCAAGGTGACCGGTCGTTGGCGTTACACGGATCACCTAAATCAAAAATAAATTAAAAAAAATCAATAATACTTCCTGAATAGACTAAGGAAAAAGCTAAAAATAATCAAATCAAAAAGAATTAACGAAGGTTATAATATAAAAAAAAGTTACATACTGTGTGCGTTTAATTTCGAAGAAAGTCAACCCGAAATTTGATGTTAAACCCACCGTAATTGCTGCAGCCTGCAGCTAAAAATAAACAAAAAATTATTTAAAATAAAATTAACACAATCTTTAGTGATAAAACCCGAAAGAATTCGCTTAAATTTGCCTAAAAATATCATCTAAATGAAAAGGGGGAAGATAAATTAATAAAAAGCGCAGTTTAACGAAAAAAAAAAAAATAAAAAAAGCATTACAACAAATCAGACCATTCCGAAAAAGGTATAAAAAAATAAACAATAAAAAGAAAAAGGAAAGATCATCCTATCAAAGAAAATGTAATAAAGAGGAACCAAAAGGGTACAAAATTTTTTACAAACTTTTATCTATTGGTTTCGACAATTGTCGAACTCGAAACAATTTTTTATTAAAGGCAAATCGCGAGTAACAAAAACCTCAATTTTGCAAGCATGTTGATATAATTTTTAATTTTAAGGTACTTTAAGGTATTGGATATTTATTTATTTTTAAAATATTATGTATTTACGAACATGATTTTTATAATTAATAACCATAGTGTTACGGTATAACTTATAGTTAATGTTAATATATAAATTTGTTTAAAGCTAAATTTTACATGAAAAGATACTAAATATTTGTCGGCGAATATGTAAGGATCCAATTATTATTATTTGTATGGTATATTCCAATAATCGATCCAAAAAAAAAAAAACAAAAAATCTCAATAATTAAAACAAAATTTTCACATACCAATGAAGTGAACAGCCCAAGTAATGAATAACTATGACCATTCTTTAGATCAGCAATCATATAAGAC